CTCAAATAGATTTCCCTTCCTTCCTTCCTAAGGTATGAAGTATATATAGAATCACAGATTTCCTTTTCCATTAAAAAACTCCACTCCCTACTTTCCTGGAATGGACTGTGATGGAATAGGTCGTCATCCAAATGGATTTCTTCCCTTGGCATTGAATGTTTCCATCCCCACCGCGGCAGTTCATGTGTGCAGGCGCACTGCCTCTGGGCGGGTCCCTGGGCCCACTCTGAGACCAGCGTGGCTCTGGGGCGGAGAGGGTCTCTCAGGCTCTGGGCTCCCAGTGTGGTGGATCCAGAAGTGACCATTGGCAGTGACGCTAGCTTAGGGACACATCAGAGGTCACAGTGGTGCTTCACCAGGGCCTTTAAAAAAAAAGTCTTTAAGATTGTTGGAACACCTTGAAAGTTTGAGATCTAAGGTTTAAAGCTTTGGCCTCCTAAGTATACCTCCCAGGATGGGGAAATGATGTGATCTTCATTCCTTCTCCATCTCAACTTCATTAAAGTAATTTTTTTAATTTTCTCTTGTCTACTTTTCCTTAAAAAAAATTTTTTCCCCCAAAAGTCAAACATACAGAAAAGTTGAAAACGGAAATGCAGTGGCATCTACCTGGATTCGGTTAACTTTTGCCCCATTTGGCAAGCTGGGTTCTTTAACCCTTTGTCTTTAGGCACAGCTGGCTCTCTCCTTGCTGCCTTGCTAATCGGGGGGCCTGTCCCTTGCTTTTGCTGTGCTTCTGTTGATAGAAGGCAGGTAAGAAGGAAGTAAAAGAGGAAAAGACTCATTCATGAAATCACATATTGAAGGTGTGGACCCAGAGAACCTAATATAAAAGAGTCCCATCCTACTCTAAATCCTGTGTGTTTGTCCCTTTCGGATGGAGCACACAGTTTTCTCGGTAGGAGTGCTCACCGCTCACTGCTAGCCCCTGTGGCAGAGCCCTCTGCCTCCCCAGAGGAACTAGTCCACAGTCACTCACGGCTTCCACCTGTGTTCTCCATCCTCGTTTGCCTTGGACATTGAGTTGATCCTGTCCCTTTCCCCAGTGGCCGATTCATTCATGGCTCTCCCGTGGGTGGGTTGGAAAGTGGGTCAGTGGGCTGGGGGCATTCTGATTCTTTAACTCTTGGTGGCAACTGTGGCGTGTCTTTGGCTCGAGCTTCTCCCAAGCATTTTGCTTTGATGTTATATTCTCAAGTCTTTTTTCTTTCATTTATTAGATCATGTGTTCGTTCAGCAAATAGTTTCTTAAGAAAGTCTTTAAATAATTGTCTCAAGTATGCATTACTGTGTACTTCCTCATGTAACTTTTTACTTCCTCAAGTAATATCCCACGGATCTTAGAACCTTCCACTCAGTGCACAGTCTTTTAAATTCAGTTGGCTTGTGTGGTCATTTTCATAATTGGTCAAATTTGTGTTTGTGTGTGTGTGTGTGTGTGTGTGTGTGTTGATATCACTGGTAAATCAGAGTAAGGTAAGATCTCAAATGTCATTCAGGCTATCCTTCTATAGTAGATTAGTATTAACTTTCTTTAAGCCTCTGATACCCTATTTTCCCAAGCAGTTTGAAAGGTCTGATGATCTAATTCTGAAAAATCAATCATTGAAAATCATAGCCCAAAGATCCATTTGCAGGAGCAGTTATGCATTAGGCTGCAAACCCCAAGGTCAGCAGTTTGAAATCAACCAGCTGCTCCATGGGAGAAGGATAAAGGTTTCTACTCCTATAAAGTTACAGTCTCAGAAACCCACATGGGACCGTTTCTACTCTGCCCTATAGGATTGCTATGAGTCAAAATTGACTGGGAAGCAAGGAGTCTGGAGTTTGGTTTACGTGAATCCAGTCCCCACTGACTCTCCAATGTACATAGACTAGGAGTGTCAACAGCCCTGATAGCAGACACAGAGCCTTGTAACATGGATTTTTAGCAACTCTGCTTAGGCTGGAATCTAACACCTTTCCATTTGCTCTCCCGCGGGACCTATTGTGAATTTATTCTAAAATTGTTACAATTTCTGCATTCTCTAGATGGAGGCTTTCTTTTGTCTCCTATGGTCTTTGTTGCAGCTCCTTGTTTGTTGTTTATCCTTGTTTTGTATGTTTATCTGTCTAGGAAAACAAGGATGGGTCGATGTATGAAAACAGTAGCTGGATTAGTGATTGCCTGGGGACACAGAAAGGATCCCTGATGGCATGGTGGTTACTCGCTGGGCTGCAATCCAAAAGGTCAGCAGTTTGAAACCACCAGCTGCTCCGAGGGAGAAAGATGGGCATGCTACCCCCGTAAATAGTTACAGTGTCACAAACTTTATCCTGTCCTAAAATATTGACTCAATGGCAGTGAGTTGAGTTTTTAGTTTGGGGGCACAGAAGTGTGTGTAGAGACTGGAATGGGGAGTCAGCCTCAGTGGGTATAAGAAGGAAGAAAGAATTCCAAAGTTGATTGTGGCGATGATTGCACAACCCTGAACTATTGAATTGTATGAAATGTTAATTATCACTCAACAAATGAAAACTAATAATGAAAGAAAGAAATCCTTATGTAGCACGGTTTTGCTATGACACATGCAATGTCACTGTGAGTTGAAATTCACTCATAGGCAACAGATGCATTTGGTGTAGTACTCAAAAAAAAAAACCAGAAACGAAATCCACCGCTAGTCAGTTGATTGCAAGTTGTAGGAACCCTATAGAATAAAACTGCCCCATAGGGTTTACAAAGCTACGAATCTTCACAAAAGCAACTGCCGCATCTTTCTCCCGAGGAGTGGGCTTAGGCCTTCAAACCAATGACCTTTGGATTAGCAGCCAAGTGCTTAACCATTGTATCACCAGGGTTCCTTTTGATAGTAATAGTGCACTAGGATTAAAGTGTTTTCGTCATTTCTGTGGGAGTGGCTTGTGGGCACTGTCAAGTAGACATTAGGCTGCTGATGCAAGGTCTGCTGTTCAAGCCCACCAACTGCTGCTTGGGAGAAAGATGAGGCTATCAGGTTCCATAAAGACTGACAGCTTTAGAAACTATTTGGGTTCCTCAGGCTGTACATCTTGATATAGTATATAAGGTTTCTACAAGTCAGAGTTTTGTGTTAGTCTGTTCTATATCTCTGAATCTAGAACAGTAGCACCTATGTGTTATGCTAGGTTTAGATTTGGGTTAGTCTATTCTGTATCTCTACACTGAGTTCTCTAGAGAAGCAAAACTAGTGGCACTTTTTACGTGTATGTATATAGAGAGATTTACATTAAAGAAGGGCTCATACAGCTGTAGAAGTGGGCAAGTCCAGTCCAGTTCAAGTCTGTGAGTCAGACGGTAAGCTGAAGGCTTCTCCTAACTCAATGTAGCTGCAGCAGTTGATGACCAGGAAGCAGGGAAACCCCAGGCTGGTAGATGCAAAGTTGAATGAATCCAAGGTTGGCAATAAGCTGATGGCTCCTGGGACTCGCAGGCAATATGGCAGGAGAACAGTAAATCGGGTACAGGATCCAAATAGCAGCAGTAAAACTTCCCCACAGTCTGCTTAAAAAAACAAAGGAGCAGGCCACACCCTCACATAATCTTTCTTCCATTTTCATTAAGCCTGTATACCTAACCAAGAGAGCTGCACCCTACCATAGCTGCTGGCCACTCACAGGGTTGAGTACAGTGAACCCTCGTTTATCGCGGTTAATCGGTTCTAGACCCTACCGTGATAAATGAAATTCCGCGAAGTAGGAGTCCTTGTCACGATGCGCTTTGCTTCCTTGTTGAAAGTGAAAGTAGCCGTAGCACGGATGTTTTTTTCCTCTTTAAGGATGGAGCGAACGGAAGACTCATTCAAGTCGAAATGGCGTGCAACCTCCACGATTTTCTTGCCATCTTTGATCATATCCAAAAGTTTTACCTTTTCCTGGATGGTAAGCATCTTCCTCTGGCGCTTATTTTTATTGTCAGAAGGCTTAGAAGAAGCAGCTCCTTTAGGAGCCATCATAGGGCTTAGATAAAATTTCTTTTAAATCGCAAAGAATTACAGTACACTGTACAAAAGCAAAAATGCATCTGATACGTAGTGATGCAGACAGAAGTGTGTACAGTATGAGCCAATCAGTGGCAGTAATGATAGAGCATGCGCTGATACGCAAAAACCGCGATAGAGTGAAGCCGCGGAAGTCGAAGCGCGAAGTGGCAAGGGTTCACTGTACATAGTGTTAGATCCCATCGTGGGGAATTAGTGCCAAACTACTGAGAACCCTGACCCAGCCAAATTGCCACAAAGCCTAACCACCATAGCATCGTGTATAGCATCTGCTCCATAAATACTTGTCAAATGAACGAATTAAACCCCATAGGAAATTAAAAGAAGTAAAGACTTGTTTTCAAAAGCCAGATATCCACATGTAATGAGTCTTTCCAGGTTCAAGTACCAGCTCTTCCTGTTATGGTCAGTGTGACCTTGTGTATATGACTTTTCAGAGCATCTTATTTATTGAGATGAGTCAGCTAATATGGCCTTTCTAGCCACAAGCCCAGGTGTGATGTATTGTAAACTCTGGCCTCATTGCCTGTGGCTATGATCCGTTTCTGATGGAGTTGATGCTGCCTTGCAGCCACCCTGTAGAACAATGTGGGTGTCTGAGGCTGTGCATCTTTACAGGAGTCGAACCCAGACCAAATTCACTGCCATCAAATGGATTCTGACTCATAGGGACCTTCAGGACTCCCTGGCAGGGGGCTGTGTGTTGGGCTGTGTGTTAGTCTGGGTTGACTCGAGAAACAAATCCAGAGACACTCATGTGTATAAGAAAGAGCTTTACATAGAGAGTAATTTTATATTAAGAAAGCAGCCCAGCTCAGTCAGATCAAGTCCATAAGACTGATATTAGCCTATGTGTCCAATACCAGTCTATAAATTCCTCATTAGACTCATGCAACACATGTAATGACACCAAATGCAGGTAGATCACAGGCCAGTGGGTGGAAAGTCTTGTGGATCCCGTGGCAGTGGAAGCATCTCAGCGCTGGCATTGTGGCTCCTCTAGCTCCAGGGCTTTGGCTCCATCAGCTTAGCTCCATGTGACTTGTCAGCAAGAAGACGAAGCAGAGAGTGTGTCTGGCCTCCAGTGAGCTATTTATCTCCATAGTGCCTCCAAATGAGGTCATCAAGCTGCGACCTGATTGATAGTCTGAACTCCACCCCTCCACTCTTAATGGTCTCAAAAATGACACCAGATTATGTCACTACTTCAGGCTGCTAACCAAAAAGTCAGCAGTTCGAAGCTACCAGCTGCTCTGAGAGAGAAAGGCAAGCTTTCTACCTCCCATAAAAAGGTCACAACCTTGGAAACCCACAGGGCAGTCCTGTCTCATCCTCTAGGGCTGGAATGGACTCGATAGCTGTGAGTTTGTTCAGGTTCTACTCCCCTCCCCTGGAAGCTTTTCAATGCCATGGTACGTTCTACTTCGTCTTATGGCAGCCATTCTCAACCTGTGGGTCACGACCCCTTTGGGGGTTGAACGACCCTTCACAGGGGTCGCCCGATTCATAACAACAGTAGCAAAATTACAGTTATGAAGTAGCAACGAAAATAATTTTAGGTTTGGGGGTCACCACAACATGAGGAACTGTCTTAAAGGGTCACATTAGGAAGGTTGAGAACCACTGCCCTATAGAATTGGTATGCGTTGAGATCTACTTGATGGCAGTGAGGGGGTTTTTTGCCTTGTTTTCTGCTATGCTAATGGGTGGGATTAAGTCTCTACCTTAGTAGAGGGTGTGAACCAAGCCACTTCCCTTTGTTTCCGTGGAGTATGGTCTGCTAAGAACACATTTGAGATCTCTCTCTGAAGTGGTAGAGGCTGCGACCAGAGCACCGAGACCAGGGGACAGAGCAAAGGAGCCAGGCCAAGCCCAGAAACTGAGACAAGGGGACCATGAGACAGAACACAGGAGCAGCACTGAGACTGAGGCAGTGAGGCAGAGCAGCAGGCTGGCGTCCTGGCCCACAGGGGCAGAGGCCCAGGAATCACCTGGCCAAGAAGCTGAGGTCAAGAAGAGAGGGAGTTGCCCCCTGGCTGAGAAGAAGTGTGGACCAGTGACTGTATCGTCAATATTTTCTGATCCTGACTTATAGTTAAACCTGTGAACTTCCTTACTAAACTCCCCTAATTACACATAGTGCATGTATGAGTTCTGTGTTGCCATTGCAATGAATTATCTAATCTAGCAGAAAAGTGGAGGGCTGTGGGAGGAAGGGTCAGTGTCCCAGTAGATACAGAAGGATGGAGCATGGCGGCATGTCTGACCTCTGCTTCTTGGCAGCAGGAAAACCAGAGAGGGTCAGATCTGACCCCTCCAGGCTTTTTTAATTTTACAACATTTATAAAATGGGAGCATCATTTACCAAATTAGCATTGTTTGGGAGGATGAAATGATCTATATAAATCATCGGTTTCCAATTTACTTGGCCTACTGTCTCCTTTTCAGAAAAAAAAAAAATTCAGCACCCCTGTGGCATTTAAAAGCTTTTGTGCTATAGTCTATAACCCAGGATAAAGTGTAGGTATCTGCTTCTGCCACACTCCTGAACCATTCAGGACCCACCCCCACCCCAGGGGGTGGTATTGCCTACTTCAGCAAACACGGATATTAAAAGATGACATGCATAACGTTTGTAGCATAACATTCCATCCTCAAATGCTAGTTCCTCTCTCATTTTCTTCCTCCTCTAGATTTGGGCCAAGTATTGGACGGCTTTATGTTTTTCCCAGGAGAACTGCTGACTCTTTTGGATAGGTTCCGTCATCCTATTTTGGCCTCTGTCCTGGTGCTGGACACCGGTGGACAGAAGATTCGTCTCGGGTTTTCTTCATGGAAAGGGTTAACGTGCCTCAGACACCTTCCCTTCTCCCGCACCTTTGGGCTGCAGTCACCTCCCCCAGTTCTGTGGATGCAGTTGGGGTTGCTGATAAGCCTGGGTTTGGCTTTCATTCCCATTTCTGACTTGTGTACAAAATCTGACCCATTTGTTTCTTCTGTGAGGATCTCGTGACCAAGGCCGGCCCAGAGCTCTCCTTGGAGTCTACCTCCCATAATTCTTTTGTGTTCTGGAACATTTCCTGAACTTATTCTGTTCTAGTGTGTGCCCAGTGCTGACCCTCCTTCCCCTTTGTGGGGCGGACAGAACCACACTGCGGCTTTTGCTGCCTTCTCGACTGCATTGCACCTGCTCGCGCCCCCTCCCTCCCAGAGACACCCACTCTCAGCCGCAGCAGCAAGATAGTTCTTCGGGGCAGTTCAGGCAGGAGTGTGCCAGCGAAGTGTAAATGGCCCAAGAACATATCACAGAGTTGTTAGGTGCTCCAAGCCGATTCTGACCGCTAGCAACACCGCACAACCGAAGAAAACCCCGCCCAGTCCTGCACCATGCTCACAACTGTTCCTATGTTTGAGCCCACTGTTGCAGCCACACGCTCCATCCATCTCGTTGCGGGGCTGCCTCTCTTTTTCTTGCTGACCGTCCTCTCTCCCAAGCATGGTGGCGTCCTCCAGGGACTAGTCCCTCTGGTCACATCTGGTGAGAACGGTCTCGGCACCTTTACTTCTCACGAGCAGCCTGATTGTGCTTCTCCCAACACAGCTTTGTTTATTCTCCTGGCGGCACTTGAGATGTTTAATGTTCCTTATCAACCCGATCGTTGCCAATGCATCAATCTCCTTTTGTCTTTCCTATCCATTCACCAGCTTTCCCATGCCTAGGAAGCGATTGAAAATGCCAAGACTGGAGTCAGCCACATCTTAGTCCTCAAAAGGACACCTTTGCTGCTGGACATTTTAAAGAGGCCTTGCACAGCAGAGTTTCCCAGTAGCATAACTCATTTGATTTTTTGACTGCTACTTCCATGAGCCTTGATTGTGGATCCTAGTGCAGTGAAATCATTGACAACTTTTCTGTGCTTATCATGATGTTGCTTATGGGCCCAGTTGTGAAGAATGTTTTTCCCCCCTTTCTGTTGAGGTGTAATCCCAAGGCAGTCATCTTTGATCATCTTTGATATCAGTAAGCGCTTCAAGTCCTCTTTGAACAAGCAAGGTCATAGCCCATGCAGCTGGCAGGTTGCCACCGAGCCTTTCTCTGATCCCGATGCTGCGTGTCTTCCTAAAGTCCTGCCTCTCAGATGACGTGCTCAACATACGGACCAGCTCCTGACACTGTAGCGCGCATGGGAGAAAACGAGCCTGTTTCATCACACGGCTTGAGGGGGTGGGGGGGTGGACTGTGGTCCTCCTCCTCTTTGACGTTGAAAGAATGGGCCCAGCAATGTGTGTACTTTAGAGTGCGACAGACACGGCCACAGTACTTCCTCTGTACGGGGCAGTACTTCCTATTCCTCCCAGCAGTGGAGGGAGCACGCTTTATCTCTTCTCATCTCCAAGCCCTTTCAGTTGAAGTGGTGGAAAGGCATCTTACGGTTGCTGTAATTTGCACTTGCTCTGCTCCTCCAGGAACCCTAGGGGCGTGGCCCTGAAGTGCTTGGCTGCTAACCGAAAGCTTGGGGGTTGGTCTCCCCTGTGGCTCTGCAGGAGAAAGCTGAGGTTTCTGCAAAGATCCACAGCCTTGGAAATCCCTCGGGAGTTGTTCTACTCTGTCCTGTAGTGTTGCTATGGCTCTGACTTGCCTGGCAGGCAATTTTACTAGTTCCCCCAAGTGGGTGGTGCCGCCCTCCGCCCTCAGAGGGCACTGGAATAATCCAGTGGGACTGCAGAAGCAGATACCGACATTTGATCCTGGAGTGTGTGTGTCGTACTAAAGGTTTTCATTGCCAGGGGCAGGCACTGGGTAATTGTTTTGTCTTCAAAGGGACACACACACACACACACACACACTCCCTGCCATCCAGTCAATGCGACCCATATCAACCCTATTGGACAGGATAGAACTGCCCCTCTGAATTCCCAAGACTATAACCCTTTAGGAGACTAAAGAGGCCCGGTCTTTCTCCCTTGGAGAGGCAGGTGGTTTCAAACTGCAGGCCTTGGGGTTAGCAGTCCAAGCCATAACCACTATGCCACCCGGGTAGGAGAGTCTTTTGCAGGGTAGGAGAGTGAAATGGAAAGCCTTGTTGGGGCTTACTCAAATGCCCTCTCTTCATTCTCTCAGCCTCGGCGCTTCGATACCTTCACGAGAACAGGATCATCCACCGAGATCTGAAGCCGGAGAACATCGTCCTGCAGCAGGGGGAGCAGAGGGTGAGCCCCCGCCACGTGAGGCAGGCCCGCGCTCCGTGGGCTTCTGCGTCACTTGCCTTTCCTTCAGTGACCCTTTGATGTTCTGATAAGTGCTTTTCGACTTTGAACAGAATCCAGTAGAAAGTTCTCCCTTGCAGACGGAGACAAATTTGAATGGATTACATTGTTCCTTGCCCGAGTTGCAGGAATCTGATAAGGAAAGTGTTTGTCTTCTAACCTCCTCCACCCCTCTCCCCACCCCCCACCTCTAGGACCAGCACTTCTTGGAAGCCAACTTTCTGTTTTCCATTTGTTCAGCACCTCAACTTTTTATTTTTTTAATAGACTTTTTTTTCTCAGTACAGCAGTTGTAGGTTTACAGAACGTACAGAGTGTTCCTGCAATACCTCCCCTCCATTTCCCCACATTCCCCTCTATTAATCACATCTTGTGATGGATGCGGTACGTTTGCACCACATTTGGTAGATTCTATTGCCTAAAAGCCATCATTCACATGAGGGTCTGCCCTTTGTGCAGTTCTATGGGTTTGGACAAATCCATGATGTCGTATCTTGTAGAACAGGTTCCCTATCTTAACACCCCCTAAGGGGCTCCATTGGTTCACCAATCCTTCCCCTCTCCCACCCTCACCCTCACCGCAGCCCCTGGCAACAATTCTCACTGCTTTTGAGTGTCTCTCTAGTTCTGCCTTTTCCAAAGTATTGAGGCTTTCCCCGACCCCTCCTGTGCCTTAGCAGCGTGCATTTCCGCCCTCTCCTCCTGTGGCTGGGTGGTGAGCCACCCCTGCATAGTGTGCCACGGTGTGTTTCCTCATTCTAGACCCTCAGCTTTTGCTGGATGTCGGCTCTGGATGGGGCTGACAGGAGGCGGTATGAGCTGGCAGAGTCCACCCCGCAAGGTGTCCAGGGCTCTTTGTGTGAGAGGCATCTTCCCTCACCCCCTTCCATGGTCCCCTCCAGAGGCATGGTGCCCACCTTTCCATCCAGTTGACACTGTGGCCTTCGTCCAGCTGAGGGTGATGAGTACAGGCTCAGCTGAGCACTGTGTGGTCACTCAGCTTGTGGGTCTCCCGGTCCCTTCCAAGAGAGCTCCCATCGGTGTTCTGGGCCTGGCTGGGACTGTCGCAGCACTCACCGGTTCCAGCTCACCCGCAGTCCTGCCAGGAACTCTATGAGGGGGTACGCCCCCCACCCTCCAAATGGAAACGTCTCCGCTGGGCGGAACTTTAGGGAACATCGAGGAACTTGCTCTGAGTTAGTGTACCCAGGGGTGTCGCTGGGAAGGTTCTCTCTGGTCACAGTGAGTTTTTTAGTAAAAGCAGTTTTGCTCGAACCTCATTTTTTGTGAGGGCCGATTGAAGAGAACAGTGTGCGTGTGGCTGTGAAATTTTGTTTCCTGTTCGGGAGAAATGCCCCAGAAACTGCTGTGATGTTGAGCACAGCTTACAAGGACAGCGCTATGAGAAAAACTCACGTGTACGAGTGGTTTTCCATTCCAAAAAAGGGTGAAATGTTGATTGATGACAAACCTCATTCTGGATGTCCTTATACATCCGAACAGATGAAAATGTCAACTGGTAGTGCATTTGGAGTTCATTCCACCGGGTCAGACTGTTAATCAAGCTTTCTATTTAGAGCAGCGGTTCTCAACCTGTGGGTCACAACCCCTTTGGGGGGTTGAACGACCCTTTCACAGGGGTTGCCCGATTCATAACAGTAGCAAAATGACAGTTATGAAGTAGCAACGAAAATAATTTTATGGTTGGGGGGTCAACAAAACATGAGGAACTGTATTAAAGGGTCGCGGCATTAGGAAGGTTGAGAACCGCTGCTTTAGAGGCTCTGAAAAGATTGCATAACAGTGTGCAACAAAAATACCTGATTTGTGGCAGACAGGGGACTGGTTTTGCCACCACGATAATGTACCTGCTTATGCATCCATCTCCGTGTGCCACTTTTTGGCAAAAAGCAGCATGCCTCTCTTGCCCCCCACACACCTTAGTCACCCGACGACGTCGTTCCTTGTGACTTCTTTTGGTTTCCTTGAATGAAGAGGGGCATGAAAGGACAGCAATTTGATGTCATAGAAGAGGTGAAGGAAAAACAAGGGAGGTCAGCCATCCAAACAGATGAGTTTGAAAAGTGTTTCCAAGAATGCGATCACAGATTTGACAAGTGTATTAAGTGTAATAGAGAGTACTTTGAAGGTGATAGGTTGTTTTTGAGGGTGGGGGGATTCCAGGTTTGGGGCTGGGTACCCTCTCATCAGATTTGAGATGTGAAAGTATTTACGGTTAAGAGACGGGCCCAATGTTTTCATGTTATAAAGTCCAACTTTTCCAATTTTGAGGGCTGACTCACGTCACGGTCTGTTGATTTGGGACGTCCTCTCCGTCTTGGAGGCAGCGCAAGGGGGACACGTGTCAAGCGATGTTCGTGTTTGTTTTCTTTTTCCCTAAATCCACCACGTTGGCACTGTTGATGCGCTCGTGTAATTGGTGTCTCTTAGGAACGTCGGATCTAGTGTTACTTAGGGACTCAAAAATACCCTGTGCTCTAACAGCAAATGATCAGAAGAGTACTTGTAGGACAGTGTGCTTTCAAAAACCTCACATGTTTCTTTCTTTCTTCAGTTAATACACAAGATTATTGACCTCGGATATGCCAAGGAGCTGGACCAGAGCAGTCTTTGCACGTCCTTTGTAGGGACCCTGCAGTACCTGGTAAGAAGCGGGATTTGCATGGGTGCCTGTCAAGTTGCTTCTGATGCCTGTGTTCACACAGTTCCACTCTCCCTGCTGCCTAGCACCTCAGACTGGCCAGCTGTTTATGAGTCCTAGATGCACAGGGCTTGCTGCTTGAGTCAGTACACCCCTCTCGCTGCCCCCTCCCCACATCCATTAAAGCCTGTGGCATGCCCTCTTCTCTGACATGAAAAGGGCAGGTGTGCCCTGACGAGCTCCCACCACCTCTCTGTGCTTCAGGATTGTATCTGGCAATAAAGGCGTGCACGAGATGCGCCCTGGTCTGAGGAGGCCCCAGTTCTCCTGCGGTGTCTCATGCCCCATGGAGGAGGCTGAGCTCTGTCTGAGCTTCCTACTCCTTCTGTGAATAATTTAGTTTGAAGATTGGGGTTCTGCTTGAGGTGTTCATCCAGGACACATTGACTGAATGCAGTGTGTGTGCCAGGCACCCAGGGGTAAAGAAGATGAGCGAGCGTGGGTGGCCCCGGCCTTCAGCACTTTTGTAGTTTAGCAAGGAGACAGGCGTTACCCCAATAGTTATGCAAATAGCTGAGAAATTACAACAATGATACGTGCAATCAAGGAAAAGGGCAGGGTGCTGTAAGGCAGTATCTTAAGAAGGCCTCCCTCACCTCGTCTGGAGCCTAAGGGATGAGTAAGTGAAGGAGGGCTGGAGGAGGGAGGGGCTGGGTAGAGCGAGTGGGAAAGACAACATTCTAGGCTCATTGGAAGGCCGGAGCGTGTAACTACAGCCTGAAGAATAGGGAGAGTCCTCTGAGTTCATGCTGGGGAGAGAGAAGCCAGACCAAACCCACGGCCGTCAAGTTGATTCCAGTTCACAGCAGCACGACGGCATGGGGGAGAGCTGCCTTTTTACATCTCGACGGGCCAGGCAGCCTCGCCTTCCTCCCTCAGGGCCATTGGTGGGCTTCAACCATCGACCTTGCTGGTTAGCTACTCAATGTGTAGTCCACTCTGGCACCAGGGTTCCTTTGGGGAGAGATAGAGACAAAATACTCAGAGAAAGAATGAAAGAAAGAGCCATGTTTCTCCTGTCTGCATACCACCAGCTAGGACAGTAAGCTCCATCAGCTTCTCATCTGCTCTCTGGAATATTGGTTGCTGCTTGGTTCAGAAGACTGTCCGTAGGCCTATAGCATTTACTGTGCATTTGGTGTAGATCACCTGGCCTCCTTTCCCTTTGTGGTAACGCAGCAAGTCTCGTTTCTCCTATCTGTGCACAGAGTTCGTTTCGAATAAGTGCTTGAAAGTGCTGCCACCTCCCTTTTAGCCGAGACATGATGTACCCAAGAGGAGTCCCTGGGGGCCCTGGCTCCTTAGCCTTGCTGCCAGAGTGAATGAGAGACAGCAAGGTAGAGAAGAACTCCATCTGCTCTGGCTGGTCACTTCTTCCCCCTGGAGGGGATAGGCCAGTGCTGCCAGAAAGGAGCCAGGAGCATTTGGGGGCACAATGAGCTGGCCTGTGACTCCTCAGTAGGTGGCTCAGCTCAGGCGTGTCCGTCATTGTGCTGGTGCAGGCCCCGGAGCTGCTGGAGCAGCAGAAGTACACGGTGACAGTGGACTACTGGAGCTTCGGCACCCTGGCTTTTGAGTGCATCACGGGCTTCCGGCCTTTCCTCCCCAACTGGCAGCCTGTGCAGTGGTGAGTCGGGGCCGAGACCTGGGGGCGGTATGGAGGGCCTTCCTCTGTGTAGTTCATCTGTCTTCACCCCTCTGGCTCACAAGCTAGGCCTGAGAAATCGGTGCATTGTCTCCCCTGACAGGAAGGCCCTTTAGGACCCAGGATATTGGCGGGTGGGCAGGCAGGCCAGCAGAGCACCGGAAACCTAGAAAATCGAGCGGTGGTTCAGTATGAAGGTAGATTCTGACACTCAACATCTCACTTTTAAATATCAGACTATATAAATGACCTTTGCTGTATTTCCAGAAGCATCAACAAGTCGGGGTGTTAGGGTCCTGGTGTTTCAGTGGTTTAGCACTCTGCCACCAGCCCCAAATTCACAGGTTCAAACCCACCAGCCGCGCTCATGAAGAAAGATGAGGCAGTCTGCTGCCACACGGAGATTCACAGCCTCAGGGGAGATGGTCCACCGCACAGGTCCGTGTCTGAGGCATTGGAGCTGGATTCACAAGATCTGGTCAGATCGGACAGTCTTGGCCTCTTCACACGCCTGCCGCACAGCTAACCTCTCATTAGATCCCTGGCTATCAGAGCAGTAATACAAAATTGTTAAC